GTAACCCATCAGTCGTCTTAAAACGTCTGCTAGTCACTTGCTAACGAAACATCTCTACACAGAAACTTGCCGGGGCTCTGACAAGGAAGGGCTTTGGTGACATGAGGCGGGGGCCAGCTTAAACCCCCTTCAGCGAGGGTTTGGGAAGGGAGGAGTGTTGTGAACAGCTCACCTGCTCCGAGCAGTTTCACAAAGCCATCCGCCCCAGGCGGAGAGGCTGCAACTCCTGTTCGTCTCTTGGGGCGTTCACGGTTTGCTCTTTGCTTTGGAACTGCTGGGTTGCACAGGTGCCTCTCGGATGTGCCGTGGCCCATCCAGTTAGTTCAGCCGTGCTTGCTTTGGGCTGTTTCTGTGCAGGGGAAGTGAAATTGGAACACTTTCTGCAGAAGCTGTCTGGAAGCAGAAGTTTCTGGTTTTAGCTTTGTGGTGAGCACTGGTTGAATGAGCTGCAAGAGCAGAAACAAGTCGAACAGCCCCCGCTGCGATTGAGGCACAAAGCGGGGTTTGGGCTGGGAGTGCTGACTGGTCTGAGCAGTGTTGAATGCTCCTGTCACAGTTGGCTGGAGGCTGGTCTGGTCTCATCACTGAGCAGCGCTGAGTGTCACACCCTTCGCAGCAATGCTGGTGGTAGGTGTCAGCAAGCCACATCCTGCCTCTTTTCACACCAGGCTCTTCTGGTCAGCAGGTTCAGGTACATGTTCAACCCTCAGGTCAGATCCCACAGTATGTGGGTAAGCAGGCCAAGCAAATCGAAGCTATTAACATCCCCTGGATTGAGGGGAAACACGGGTTACACAGCCTGTGCACTCCTGCCAGAGCTCCTTCAATTTATTCTTATTTTGGGTATGGCATCCATAATGTATTGGCTCTGCCCTGGTAAAAAACAGGCTGTGTTCCATTTTACTTAGGGCAGCAGAAACTCTGCGCTCAGCACCTTGTTCTTGCCTGTTTTACTCCAGCCGTCAGTACTGCACTGCCAACTTCCTAGAGCTCTGCTGCTTTCCCCCAGCCCGGGTTAACAGTACACATTGAAAGGCAGTGCAGCAAGCACAGCTCTGGCAGCATTCCTGACTGGTGTGTGTTTTCTAGTGACCGTTATGCTGGAGAAAGGTGTTCCCTGGACAGTCCCAGAGACAGAAGCGCTGTATTTCTAGAGCAGGTACAGTACAGACAGCAGCCAAACAAGCATCTTATTCTGCATCAGGCCTTTACCTTCACTTGCAGAATGTCTCTGGGAGGGGGAGGACTGGTTGGCACTTGGCCTCTCTCTTGCAACTGCTTATTAAGGGATATGTGGTGTCAATGTGAACTTGCATCTGTGCCCTAGCAAACTGGCCTGCAGAAAAGCTTTGTTAGGAAAGAGGAGCACAGAGGCTGGGTCTCTGTGCCTCAGAAACCCCTTCTGGGCTGTAGAGATCATGTGCAGAAGAGGAGCGCCACTCCAGTTGTGAGTCAGCGTTCCTGGGGTGATTAAGAACTGGGTTGCCTGCTGACTTGTCTTGATGTTAGGCCTGTACATATTTTACATCCTTCCAGTAGAGCAAGTCAGATAGATAGGAGAAATTATTCAGCTAGTGACTGTGCAATGGAAAGAAAGGCCTGGTGACAGTGATCCCTGGTGGTTTTGCTGCTTCTGTGAGAACAGAGCCAGAAGAAGTGTTTAATAGGGATGATATGTTTGGAAAAACTAGACAAGCTTTCAGATAAGGAGTTTTCACCAGAAGTGGTATAATTGTTACTAAAATCTCAACAGTTGTTCATTACCTTGCACTGCAGTGACCTGCTGCTTCCATTTTGGACCTGATGGAGGACTTGTGTGCCTGAAAGCTTGTCCAATTCCCAGCTCTAATCTCTCTAATAAGAGATTTCCTCCTGTACACAAAACTTGTTCAGAAATGGGGATGGAAATACCATATTTTGCTCCTCTGTGTGTGACTTTCTGCAGAATCTGTGAGTCAAACAGCTCTTTTGTACTGTTTCTGAACCCTGCAGCTTGCCGTGGTCCTCCGCCCCTCCGTCCTGCTGCAATGAGTGGCAAGTCCTTGCTCTTAAAGGTCATTCTCCTTGGGGATGGTGGAGTTGGGAAAAGTTCCCTCATGAACCGGTACGTCACCAACAAGTTTGACTCTCAGGCTTTCCACACCATTGGGGTGGAGTTCCTAAACCGGGACCTGGAGGTGGATGGACGTTTTGTGACCCTCCAGATTTGGGACACTGCAGGACAGGAGAGATTCAAGAGCCTGCGAACCCCCTTTTACAGGGGAGCAGACTGCTGCCTGCTGACCTTCAGTGTGGATGACCGGCAGAGCTTTGAGAACCTCAGTAACTGGCAGAAGGAGTTTGTCTATTATGCTGACGTGAAGGACCCAGAACACTTCCCATTCGTAGTCCTGGGCAACAAGATAGACAAGCTTGAGAGACAAGTGAGCACAGAGGAGGCCCAGGCCTGGTGCATGGAGAACGGTAACTATCCATACCTGGAGACTAGTGCCAAGGATGACACCAATGTGGCAGTGGCCTTTGAGGAGGCTGTGCGACAGGTACTGGCCGTGGAGGAGCAACTGGAGCACTGCATGCTGGGGCACACCATTGACCTGCACTCCAGCTCCAAATCAGGGTCTTCCTGTTGTTAAGAGCGGCTGCTGCTTCGGGAATGTCGCTTGAGCCAGCGGCTGGATCAGAAGAAGCACGGGCAGCTCTGGGGCACTCTGAGGAGCGGGGCCACAAGGACAATAGGTGGTTTGCTCACTGAGGAGTTGCAGCCTCACCATCCGAGTTCTGGCTGGAGTTTTTGGGCACAGAGCATGTATCTGCAGGAGGGAGCTGTTAAAAGAGCATGTGAGCGTAGTCCTGCTTCCATCTCTGTCTGTTGTAGCAGGTTTAAAGGACTGGGTTAAAGTCCTTTAAATTCACTAAAGACAGTAGTGATCTGATCTGTACCAAGAACTGCCTGCAGAACACAGCTGAGAGCACCCTAGACAGTCTGTGAAGTATTTTAGCCCTGAACTCAAACAAATACTAGACCCACTAAACTCATGACCTTACTGCCAAAGGAATGTCTGCTCGGCATACTGAACGAAACCTGCTGTAGAGACTGTACCCATGCAGCTGTGAGAATGCCAAATACCAGAGTGGCTGAGATGAGTGTATCTGTTGTCTGGGATAAGTGCGTTTTGTCCTGAGACTGAAGTGTCCTGAGAATTGTTACAGCTCTGACGTGAAGCAGCATATGAAGGAGGGATGGACCTGTGTTTGAATGCGGCAGCATCGCTTCTTCTTAGCTGCCTATTCCTGATCTGTTTTTTCTCACCTCTAACTCTGTCTTGTGTGAGTGTTATTTTGTGGAGAGACTGCTTCTTGTTTAATATATGTTTCCTTGTCTCTTGTGGAGGCCTAACACCGGATCTTGCTTCTCATACCTTGAAGCCCTGGATGAAAAATACTGATGTGGACACTCGCTGGGTCATGTCAGAGGGTTTAGAGTTCAGGAGATCTGGAGCGTGAAACTTCTGCTGTTTCCTGTCACAAGTAATCACTGTGCCCGCTCTAGCAGAGCGGATGGAGGTGGGATCTCTCTGGGGTGTGCAGGTAGCTGAGGGAGTCATGTGTGGTCAGCTGCTAAACCCACTCTGTGTCCGGGACTGGTGACCACTGTGCTGCGTTAGCTGGTGGATCAGCATCTTCAGTTGCTTTAGCATGGATGTTCTCATCTGGATGCTGCAACTTACAACTGTTCACTTTATTACCTGTTGTCAGGTGCAGTGCTGCTGAGCACAGTGAACTCATGCCCTTGTCCTGGCCCTTACTCCTTAACAGGGAATCTGGTATGTTTTATCTGTAATTCATATGACAGACCTTATTTGTAGAGGGTGTCTGCTCGGTTAACTGGCCTTTGTTAATGGCTGCTGCACCAGTTCCACCTCTGTTCAAGGTGGCGGAAAAATGGGGGGGCAAGGAACCTTCTAGAAAAGGACATCAGGCTCCACTGATCCTGAGTGCTGCCCCCTGCTAGGTGTTAGTCCCAAGCTATCTGTGTAGCAAAGAGATGAATCCTTGCTGACTGCTGTCTTTACCATTAAAACCTCATGTCTTGCAACTTCCCATGCAAGCATTTGTCCAAAACTATGACTTTGCCCACAAGCACATAGGAGCCTGTCATGGGGACAGCTTCCCTTGAGTCCATATCCGCTAGCTGCTGAGTGCAGTTCCCACTGTGATGAGCTACTGGATGGTAAATTCTGTAGCTCTAATTGAGCAGCCTCACTGATGCTGTGCTTTAGAGCTGGGCACTCTGCCCTCACGCTGGCTGGTGGCAGCTAATCCCCATCACTCTGAGCACACAGGGCTCCCTCTGGGGGAGCTCAGGGTGATCCTGCCCTTCTCTGCAGGGCAGCCGTGTGTGGAAGGGACTGAATCTTTAATGCAAAGTGCTTTAGAGGGATCTGATTTCTAAACAGGGCTGAACACTCATATTCACAGGGATAGATAGGGAGTGTTTGCAGTCTCTGGGAAACCAGGTCCCTTGAGGTATAAGAGAAGGCTCTGTCTCTGTAGGTGCAACAGATTTTTATAGGATGTTAAAGCTATTGTTACTATTTACCAGTGTGTGACCTCCCCAGGCCTGCAGATTCTTCTTCGTTTTAACACTGCTCTATGTTTCCTTCAAGATCCCCCATTCCATTGCCTGTGGTTCTGATTTACATCTTGGAACAGACACATTCCCCCAGAGCTGTTATGTGCAGGGTCCAAGGTTGGGACAGGCTCAGGCCCCTGCACCGAGGGAGCTCCCTGCAGGTGAAACTGCTGCTTCCCATGGGATCTGTGTGAGGCCTCCTGCAGAAGAGGGCAGAGGTTGAACCTACACCTGGGTCAGGGCAATCCCAGGCACAGCTACAGGCCGGGCGGAGAAGAGATTCAGAGCAGCACTGCGGAGAAGGACTTGGGGGTGGTGGTTGATGAGAAGCTTGACATGAGCCGGCTTCAGTGTGCGCTTGAGCCCAGAAACCAACCGTATCCTGGGCTGTATCAAAAGAAGCATGACCAGCAGGTCAAAGGAGGTGATCCTGCCCCTCTACTCTGCTCTTGTGAGACCTCACTTGGAGTATTGTGTCCAGTTCTGGTGTCCTCAACATAAAAAGGACATGGAGCTGTTGGAGCAAGTCCAGAGGAGGCCACGGGGATGCTAATTTTTTTGAAGGCAGCCGGAGAAAGGCGGGGCTGTTCAGCCTGGAGAAGAGAAGACTGCGTGGAGACCTCAGAGCAGCCTTCCAGTGTCTGAAAGGGGCCTCCAAGGATGCCAGGGAGGGACTCTTAATCGGGGTCTGTAGCAGTAGGACAAGGGGTGATGGCTTCAAACTTAAACAGGGAAGTTCAGGTTGGATATAAGGAAGAAGTTCTTTACAGTGAGGGTGCTGAGGCACTGGAATGGGTTGCCCAAGGAAGTTGTGAATGCTCCATCCCTGGCGGTGTTCAAGGCGAGGTTGGACAGAGCCTTGGGCAACATGGTCTAGTGTGAGGTGTCCCTGCTCATGGCAGGGGGGTTGGAACTAGATGATCTTAAGGTCCTTTCCAACCCAAACCGTTCTATGATCCTATGATTGAACAAGCTGCAGTGCAGGAGGCACGGGTGCAGCACGCTGTTTGCTGTACCTTGGGGTGCATGTTGGTGCTGATAGCTGAAGCTCAAGATCCTCATTGTACACAGGCTGTGCAGAAGGTATGTACAGAGGGTGTTACACAGTGTCTTTTATTCCTAACACACATTGGATCATTGACTTTAAAAAACAGACCAACCACAGCTATTTTATTAAGCTTATGTGTTTTTAAAATCCATTTTAAAAGTATATTGAAATGGCTTAATTTATTTTAAAGATCCTCACACAGGAGCCAGGATTTTGTTGCAAAATTCCTTGCCAACAGCCATCCTCTCCCTCTGTCCACTCCTGCTGCTGTGGTTGTTGCTATTGCTACAGAACTGGAATTGTAAAACCAAGATTCTACCTTTATTTAAGCAAATAAAACCTGGATGTATTCAAGTGAATTCAGGAAGTGTCTGTCTTCGTTTATCAGGATTCGTGCTGGCCTCTGTTCTCCTGAGGTATGTGGAAGTGGGTTGGTCGTAGCACCTGGCAGAGAGAAGTTACAAAGGGATCAGAGGGCTTGGTTATTCCTGAGTGTTCCTACCTAGACCAGTAGTTGGGGGAATAGAACTTTACCAGCAGAATCCACTGACCAGTTTTGTCTTTCTAAGAGCATATCAGAAATGCTTTCATTACAGGAACACTCCTTCCAGAGTAACAGCAATATTGCTTCCTTCTGCCTCTACACTCAATTTTCAGCCTGGGCTCTCAGTAGCTAGCTGGGTACTGCCCTCTGATTCCTTCCTGCAATCTTGGAACCAGTCCCGCGGGCTGCAGGGGGCTGTAACCAGGCATGATTTCCTCAGGATGCTGAGATGGAAAAGAGCATATGGGGAATGTTGAATTCCGCTGTCCTGCCAGGATGGGCACTTGGTTTCAGAGCCTTTGTGTGTGTTTGCAGAGTCTGTTCCTGCTGTTCCTGTTGGCAGAACCTTTTAGTTGATTACTCTCCCACGCCTGCTTGCCTGGCCATGCTTCCAGAGGCAGTGTGGGGCTTCGAGTCCTTGGGAATCCTGCTTTTTAAATGGAGGCTGGAGTATTTGGGGGCATCCAGCACCTTACTTCAGCCGCTTCAAAACACAGCTGAAAACAGAGAGTAACCAGGACCTGGTGGGAGAAGGTCCCAGCCTTGGAGGAGTCGCAGGGCGTTGGATGAGGCTGTGTCACATCAATGAGGGTCTGTCTAACACCATGAGAGCCACCAACTCCCCTGATGCGATGTGTTTGTAAGCAAAGGCACGGCAGAGGCAGGAGCAATAGTGAGGCTGTTCCCTCATCCCCTACTTTGCTACTGCAAGCAATAGAGGAGGGCTCAGTGGGTTTTGTTGTGGGCTGGGGAGAGGATGGATCTCTGGAAGGCAAAGGAAAGCAGTGAGCTGTTTCTGCGTGCAACATACGCCGTGACATACTCCTGTGTGCTTGCAAAGGAACAGGAGAGGTGGGGAGTCTCCTGGCCCCTTCCATCGCTTTCTCCTACATCCCTCTTGCCGATTTTGCTGCTCTGGGCCAGCTGTGAGGCTGTGCAGCTGCTTGGAAACTGAAAGCTGCTCTGGAACCAGAAGCTGAGGAGCCCCAGATGACAGTAAGATGCATGAATTTGCTCTCTGGGTACCCGAGGCTGCTCACACACCGTGTGTTGTCTGAGTGCAGCCCCTCTGGAGGCTGGCTCCTCACAGCAGTACAGCTGTAAGGAAGTTTATGGGAACATGATCTCTGGGGAGTGCATGTTCTTACATGTGTTCGAGGATGAGCATGAAGATAGAGAGCCTAAAAATACTCTTTCAGGAGCCTTTGAACCCTGCTCCAGGCTTCATTTCTGAACAGGGAGCTTGTTGCAGCTCTGGTGCCTGGGGCACTGGTGTGCTCTGCTCTGGAGTGAGGAGCATTCCCGGGTCTGCCGAGGTGGGAGCTGATGGCAGCTCTGACAGCAATTGCCCAGAGGCCTCAGGTGAGTCAGAATCCCTTGAGTGAAAACAGGGATCTGGGACAATCCCTGCTGTCAGTGACACGGTGGTGGGTGACTGCTGAGGCGATTGTAAAGCAAGTGCAGATGGACATAGGTACCCCTTGACCCCGGTGCTTGCATGGCTGGTGGGGCAGCTCTTTCCTGGTGGCTTCAAGGGGTCCTTTAGGTGCTGGTGCATGTGGCCACGTCTTCATGAGCAGCCAAGTACAGCATCTCCCTGTGCTATCATCAGCCTTAGTTCTTTCCGTGAGGGTTTCCCACAAGGACTTCCCACTTGCTATTCCTCCCTTGTCCCTGGGCATGTCTTCAGCAGAGCCAAGCTTTGCAGAAGTGGAGAGGAAGCAGGTGGCAGAGAGACCTTCCCCCAGGGTGGATGTGCAGCAGTACCACTGTGCCATGGCCCCGCAGGCAGCTCCAG